ACAGTCATTTTTGCTTATGGATGAAAAGAGTCAGGTGGGAGGTTCAGGTCCATGTCTACACAGAGGCTTTGCAAACTGGGTTTGAACCTCCATAAAGGTGCAGTGGGCAATGACAATAACCTACAGCACTACCTGTTCTCTACAGCTCACTTTGTTTCAATCTGGAGTTAAGTGCTATATATTGTATTATGTTATGTTATCCCTCAGTGTTATCTATGAGCTAGATACCACCATCATCTCCATTTGTACAAGAAGAAACAGACAAAGGGAAGATAAGAAAACAAACTCAGCATCATGCAGATACTTCGATTGTGGCACTGAATTAATAGGAGATCAATGATGAAGCCAACTTCTCTCCTTTTCAAAACGTCTCTTCCTTTCAAAACAGCTCTTTCCCCCAAAATTCTGTATTAGTATTTATGTTCAGTTGTTAAAGACTTTGCAAACCCCATGACTGAAGAGCAATTTGGGCTAAAATATAAGCAATATTTCAACTTAGCTTAACATGTAAGTAACGTTCCGTTTCCTTCTTCCCTTCCTTCCTTCATCCCTCTATCCCTCCTCCCCTCGTCCCTTTCTTCCTCCCTCCTTACTTTTTTTTTTTTTTTTTTTTTTTTTTTTTTTTTTTTTTTTTTTTTCTGAGATGGTCTCATATAGTTCGGACTGGCCTGAACTCATTTTGTAGCCAAAGCTGGCCTTGAACTCCTGATCCTCCTGGCTCCACCTCCCAAGTATTGGGATTACAAGCATGCACTACCACAAATAGCCACATTATATTTCTCATAAGTCATTGCTGAAAGTTTTAGTACAGATAGTGAATTAGGTTGGTTTTCCATGTAGCAAACGAAGACTAAGTCTCTACCACATTCTTTCTTGCTGTGTTCTAAAAAATTACAGGTCCAAATAAGTCAGATAAGTACATGCCTGTTCTCAGGGAGCTTGCACACTAGTTCAAAGAGATAGACAGGGAATGAGAAAACAAAACAAGTATGTTGCTTTAGATGGGTATTCAGAACAGACTCCTAAAAAAAGTAACACTTGAGTTGGGCCTTGTATTAGTTACTTTTCTGTTGGTGTGATAAGACACCATGATCAAGAAAACTTATAGAAGGAAGAGTTTATCTGGGCTTATGGTTCCAAAGGGGTAAGAGTACATAATGGTGGGGGGTGGCTGGAGCAGGAAGCCAAGCGATCACATCTTCAAGCAGGCACAGGAAGCAGAGAGAGACTGGAAATCCACCAAGGCTTAAGAACTCTCAAAGCCCACCCCCAGTGATGTCCTTCCTCCAGCATGGCCATACCTCCTAAAACCTCCCAAAACAGTACCACCAACTGGGGACAAAATGTCCAAATACTTAAGCTTATTGGAGGGGGGGGCATTCTCATTCAGACCACCACAGGCCTGAGTGAAGGGGGTCAGGAAGAACATTTTATAGAAGGGGAAAGAGCCAGTTCAGAAGATCCCTAGTTGAAACAGGCTGGTGTACTCTTCAGCTGAGCTCTGGTGGGTCATTGTGGGGCTGTGCTGGCTAGCTTTAGTGTCAACTTGACACACCTGGGTTGAGGTAGCCTCAATCAGGGAATTGCCTCTATTGGACTGGCCTGTGGCCCTGTCTGAAGGGCATCTTCTTGATGAGTGATGTGGGAGGGCCCAGCCCACTGTGGGTGGTGCCACCCCTGGGCAGGTGGGCCTGTGTTGCATAAGAAAGCAGGCTGAGCAGGGGCCAAGGGAGCAAGCCAGTACGCAGCATTCCTCTATGGCCTGTGATACAGCTCCTGCCTCCAGGTTCCTGCCCTGAGTTCCTACCTTGGGCTCCTGGATGAACTGTGACCCAGGATATGTAAGCTAAATAAACCCTTTCCTCCCCAAGTTGGTAGTGGTCAGAGTGTTTTGTCACAGCAATGAAGAAACAAACTAGGACAGGGGCTTTATGGACTGTGGTAGAGGGTCTTTGAGATAGAGATTTAAGCAGAATGTTAACACAGTTTACTTAATAAGGCTAAAAATCTCTGTCCGGTTAAGATTTGAATAAAGGATATTAGGGCAAAAGAGGCACAGAAACTCTCTCAGGTGACCCAGAGGTGGTCTGATTTGAATAATAATTGGAAGGGCAATCCAATAGGACCTGTGACTGCGTCGTTATGTATGGTACAAGGGGCTGGAGAGATGGCTCAGAGTTTAAGAGCACTGGCTGCTTTTGTAGAGGACTCAGGTTAGATCCTCAATACCCACATGGTGGGAGTCTGATGCCCTTTTCTGACCTTCATGGGCACTGCATGACATTGGTGCACTTACATACATATAAGTATTATACTCATACACATAAAATGAAAATAATAAAGTAATTTTTTTCCAAAAGAGAAAAAGATGGATCAGGTCAGCTCTTGGTCTTTGGGCGGGAGGAAAAAAATAAAAATAAAAACATGCTTGAGGGAAGAGACATGTGTAACTCAATAAGGAAGACAAAGAAGGCAAAATAGGGCTGAGATTGGAATGAATCAAGAGTTCTGCTCTGGACAGGGGAAGCTGGGTGCTAAGGTGTTAGGGTTGGCTGGTCTTAAATTAGAGGTAATGATTATTAGGCATTTGATCACTTCTTTTTAGTGATTATAAAGACTTTAATTCTTATGGAAACTTTTAGTATCTTACAACATTTTGCTGTTGAAGCTGTCCTTGATCTTTAAGTAGAATGCCTGGAGGATGTGCTGGATGGAGTACATTGAGATTTCTCATAACTCCTTTGGGGAATCTGTATTATTATCAGTATGAACAATTGTACTGGCTGTATTGTTGCAGGATATTCCTGAACAGTTCTCTAGACTGACATAGGCATATTCTCTTTATTAAGTCTGACATAGGTGTTCCTATTCATGTATGCTCTCTGTGGAGTTTGGCACAGTAATTATCCTCTGACAAATTGCTCATCACATTCATATTTAAAAGGTTCCTGTAGCCTAGCCCAGTCATGAACATGGCAGGTGTTTTTATTATGTCTTGTAGGTTAAAATTGGGTCTTGTTTTCACTTTAGTGCACATACACAGCCAATTAGAGTACAGTCCCTGTGGACATCAAGTGGGTTATGAATCAGAAGACTACAAAGAAAAGGGGGCAGCTGATGACTCAGTGTAGAAAAACCTAGAAGCTAAACCCCACTTATTTATTATGTTTGGATGCATTTCCCTAGTTGTTGACTTGTTCCTGGCTTTAACTGTTTCCCTTCTTCTTCCAATTCCCTACGTTATTTTTACTGTATACTGTCAAAAGCACCTTTCATCTACTCAAAGTAGGACATTTATCATATTCCCTAGTCTATTATTCATGAATACCCTGTGTTTCCAGTATTTTCTACACTTCATTTCATAGCAAGCTTTGTCATCTTAGATGGTGCAGGTGATTTCCCCAGGTCTAGAGCTGCCCCTTCCAAGTAGAATGCATCATTGGCTTTTCCACATGAGCCGGTGTCACCTGATGGCAACATCTGTAGTGCCTAGTCTGAGAAACAGTCCAGATGACAAGATGTGAGGTACGCTTTTCAGACCGCTAGATGCCTGAATATGTTCTGGAAAAACCGGTCTTCCTGCCTCTCTGCAGTTCAATAGCCGTATTACTGTGAACAAGTTACTGGGTTCCTCTAGGCCTCAGTTTTCTCCTCTGGAAAACGGGGATAGTTCTAATCTTTGCTATTTGGATCCTATAAAGCATTTAGAGAAGTACCTAGTGCTTTAAAAAAGCTCAATAAACTTTCCCTTCCAAACTCTCCTGAGAAGCATGTGCGTGTGTATGTGTGTGTGTGTGTGTGTGTGTGTGTGTGTGTGTGTGAGAGAGAGAGAGAGAGAGAGAGAGAGAGAGAGAGAGGTGGTATATAATGTGTGTGCACTTGCCTGCACAGGAGGGTATGGAGGCCACAGGTTGACATCAGGATGTCATTTGAGTCAGGGTCTCTCATTGAACCTGGAGCTCTCCACTTCAGCAGCATTGGCTGGCCAGTGGGGATCTCCTTGTCTCCACCCCGCAGCACTGAGGTTACAGGTGTATTGGACTATGCCTGGGTTTTTATGTGCGTGCTTAGGGATCTGAACTCAGATCCTCATGTAGCAAGCCCTCTACCCACTGAGCCATCTCCCCAGCCCACCAGATTCTTTTTTTTCATTCGTTAGGGAACAGTAACCATGCATTCTGAAAACACACCAGCAGGTGGCTATTAGTCACAATCAAGCTAGGTTGAAAAGATGAAGGAAGTTGACAAGTTCAAGGCAAACTGGAGAAACAGTGCCGACATCACCAAAGTCTAGTCCTAGGCCTGGGCTGGCATCATTTGCTTCACTTGTTATTGATCAGGAAAAAGCATTCTCAGAGCACCTGAATCTGAACTCTGGGAGTGGGCTGGGCAGTAAGAGTCTTGAGTCTTGCAAGTAATACAGATGTTCACTCAAGTTTCAGATCTAGTAGTCCAAAATAAACTCAAAATGTTCTGGATGTGGAATTGTGTGTGTGTTTCTGCATGTGTATGTTTGTATGCATGCACACTCTTGTATGTAAAATGTGTGTAACAGCCAAAACTATTAACCAAATGTGCAATTAGCAAAAACTGGCCACAATGGTGATGACTCTCATTCCACTCAGTTTTTCCCAATGCTTTTGTCTGAATAGAAATATACTTAGAATGCTTAATTTTTATTTATTTTTTATATTTTATTTATTTATTTTTATGTGTATGCGTGTATTGCTTGCATGTAGGTAAGTGCACTGGTATCGTGCAATGCCTGCGGAGGACAGAAGAGGCTGTCAGATCCCCTGGAACTGGAGTTACGGACAGTTGTTAGCTGCCATGTGGGTGCTGGGATTCAAACCTGGGTCTTCTGCAAGAACAGTCAGTGTTGTTAACTGCTGAGCCATCTCTCCAGCCCCAAGTGCTTAATTTTTAATGACTTTACACTAAAATGTTTTGAGGGTCTAAAATATTGACCACTCAGTGTTCCTCTTTGTTTTTCTTTCTAGGAAATTCCACTTACTTGGATGACCATGGACCACCTCCCAGTAAGGTAAGGGTTTTTTTTTTTTTTTTTTTTTCTTGTAGCAAAAATTCACTTTTCCCCCCAGAGCTTATAAACTCTGACTCTAGTATCTTCTGGGCTTCCAATGAATCCCAACCAGATCCCTCCTGGACCCAAATTGTTCATAAGAAGATAGTAGATGGGTGGTGTCAAAGAAACCTTTGACATTAAATAAGTAAAGGGAAGAGCCTGAAGATGGCCAAAATGACATGGAAGGAAAAGCCATTACTCAATCTGTGCCTAGAGCTGCCAGGGCATTGTGGCTGTGGACTCCTCACTTCAGATCATTGTCAACCTCTCCTGCATTGCTATCTCATTGTCCTTGACATTGATTTATTTTGACTCTTAACATGGAGTTTGTGACTGAGCCTCCCCATGTTATTGGTCGTTGGGGGTAGTCTCATCTCTATCCCATTCTCTCTGCCCTGCACAGGTTGGGTTATTCCATCCTCTGCCTAGCCAGTGCCTTCTTACGTCTGACCTGGTTTGTGTACCCATTTCACTCTTCCTCTGAGCAGCTTTGCCTGAGTTTTAAGTGGTAGAACAGATCATTAATACAGTTTGTTTTCCTGCCACTGTCTACTTTTTGAGCTTCATAAAAATCAACTGAAATATGAATAAAACAAGATAAAAATGTTCTTCGTGTATGAGAAAATACATGCAATGCAACAGGTCTCTTGATTCTAAATATAGTTTCTTGGTGCTTTGGGGGCATTAATTCTTTTCTTTGTTGGAAGTAATGGAGATGGTTGGTCAGCCCTTGAGAGAGGAGGCCACGATTTACAAAATTGAAAGTTGGCCCTCATATACCTATCAGTCTTATTTTAATAATTTCATAGCTAGTCTGTGAACATCCAGCTCTCCTGATACTTGTTTTCCTAATCTTTGACCATTGAGGGTGATGTATGCCTAGTGCAGTTGCAATAGATTACAGATACCAATCTCTTTCCTTCTATAGAAAGAGACTTTAAAATAACAAGTATGAGTTTGGAAAGACCCACCCTTCCTTCCTTCCTTCCTTCCTTCCTTCCTTCCTTCCTTCCTTCCTTCCTTCCTTCCTTCCTTTCTTCCCCCATCCCTCCTTCCCTCCCTCTCCTCTTCCCTCCCTCCCTTCGTTTCTTTCTTTGTGTGTGTGTGTGTGTGTGTGTGTGTGTGTGTGTGTGTGTATGTTGTTATTTTGAGAGGCAGAGTCATGTGTCAACTGAGGCTGGCCTTGAACTCACTATGTAGTTGAAGATGATCTTGAAGTATTTTCTTGTACCATACTTGGTTTTATGTGATGCTGGGGATCAAACTTGGGACTCTTTGCATGCTAGTCAAGCTCCATAACAACTGAGCTACATCCCCAGCCCCCTTGAAAGAAATTTCAGAAGGTGACATTGGCTCTGCAGCTTTGTAACTGTATGACATCAAGTGAATTACTTAATATTTTGAGCCTCAGTTTTTTCCTGGGCAGAGTGTAGCTAAAAACACTGTCCAGAACACAGGATGTCTGTAAGAACTGGATGAGTAGATTAAGAGCAGCACTCAGCACTGACAGGTGACAGATAGTAAATCACCAGTGGCCTGTTCTTACTTGACTGGCATAACATTAAGCTTATTGATGAATTCTATGGTAGGATTCATCACAATTCATGGATGTCTTCCTGTTTGATCCCTGCATGTTTATAGAGTGCCTGGAATGCTACAGACGGCAGAACTTTTCTGTTGCAGTGATAAAGCACAGTGACCAAGGCAACTTATAGAAGGAGGAGTTTGTTTGGCTTATGATTCTAGAGGGATTAGAGTCCATAATGGCAGGGGAGGCATGGCAGCAGAGGTGGCCGGAACAGAAAGCCAAGCAATCACATCTTCAAGCAGGCACAGGAAGCAGAGAGAGACTGGAAATCTGGCAAGGCTTAAGAACTCCAGGCCCACCTCCAGGGGCATGCTTCCTCCAGCAAGGCTGTGCCTCCTAAAACTTCCCAAAATAAAGCCACCAAATGGGGACAAAATGTCCAAAGACCTGGAATCTATGGGGAAATGAGGGACATTTCTCATTCAAATCAGCACAAACAACAAGAAAAGTAGTTCTGCTAGAGAAGCAAAAGACTACAGAGGATGTTGAGCTGCAGGTCAGGGCTGTGTCTAGCATGCATCCTCACATTCCTGTACTAGCCTCAATGCACAGAGAGACACACGTTACCTCTTCATTAAACCCACTGAATTGGACCATGGAACCCAGAGCAGGAATCTGAGATAGGACTTCTGGTTCCTGTCCCAGGTTCTTCCCACAAGGCCAGACTCAAACCTGAGCTCACACCAGAATTACTGGGACTCTTATTAAAACACAGCTTGTTGGGCCCAACGCCAGAATACCTGATTCCATGGATCTGGGGTGGGACCTAGGAATCTGCATTCCTGACAGGCTCCCTGGTGATGCTCACGCTGTGGATCTGGAGCCCACATTTGAGAACATTTGCCATAAAGGACAGTTTCCCTTGGACCTTTTCTGTGTTATTTTCACTGTTAGTAGCTTAGAGAGAGTGACATGGCTTATTATATAAAGGTTACTTATTAATAAAATGATGATTCACCATCATTAAGTCCCCCCCACACACACCTTTGGTCAACAGTGTGCCCAACAGTGAAAAATAAGGAGAGAAAATGAATGGTACTGTTAGCCTGCTGGGTCTCCTCACCCTTGATTCTGCCTGTTCTCTAGGAGAGTGTTGAGTGTTGTTTCTACCCCTGCCCTGCCCTGATGCCAGCCAAGGGGATCACATCTTTGTCTGGAGTTCTGTCAGCTGGTTTGATGGGCTATTACTTTGAGTTCAGGCTGATAAACAGGATTTTACCATGCCATAACACCCAGGCCTGCTTGATATGAATTTGCCTTTGGGTAGCCTGCCTAGGCCACTGCTCAGTCTGCTTGCTGGCCTTGCTAAAGCCCAACTGGCCCTGCCTGCCTTTCTGCCAGTGTGGTAGATATCTGGATGCCCACTGCTCCTGGAGGTTTTCCCTAAGCGTGCATCATTCTCCCCTTGAGTCCTACAGTGTGGGTTTCAACCCCCCCTTTCCAAACCCCCAAATAATACTTCCTTTGAGCCTTGGGTTATATCAGATTATTTTAACCACTTTCAGAGTAAAGCCAATTTTATAAACTCTTGTCCAAGTTTGCAAATTGTAAACACAATCTTTTTAAAACAGCAGAAGTTTCTCTCATGCAGAGTTTTCTACTGTGTCTGTTATATAGAAATGGAGCTATAAAAGCTCTCAGATTTTTTTAAATAATTATTTGTGGGTGCTGGGATTCGAACCTGGGTCTTCTGCAAGAACAACCAGTGTTCTTAACTGCTGAAAAGCTCTCAACTTTTTAGGGCAGAAATCCTAGTAAGAATATAAAAATGGATAAAAACACTACTGGTATATGAAGAGCTTCCATTCATGATTGTCTGCTGCTGGGTCGAAGATAAACCCCAGAGTAATGCTCTCATCCTTCCAGATAAAGATCCCTTGGGTGTCTCCCGAGGTGGGACACTATTTAGGTCTACAGACCCCAGGCTTGGGCAGAGACATAGTAGCACCCAGAGGATAAGGACTCACACACGCCTGGCCTCTGGAGTGAATTCAGCCTGGCCGAGGAAAGTAAGATCGAGGCCAGTCCCATAATTTTCATATTTGTTTAGTGTTCAGAAATAACTTTTCGATGCCAAGACTGAAAGAATTGTGATCTAGATAAAATAAGAGTTTTAAGACCTGAAAATATACTAAGTTACAGCAAGCTCTCATTTTATTAAAAGATGAATTCAACAAGTTTCACATTCCGCAAGTAATAGCCATACAGGGAAAGGGTTGTGTCACTCAGCACACTCTGGGCCCAGGGCCTCCTTCCCCCTAGTATTTTCATAAGAAAAAAAATGAACACCTGCAATTTTCACTTGTTTTTGAAATTTCTTTGGACCTCACAGCTCACCTTAGTCTCTAAGCAAAGCCTTGGGAAGGTGGTGTGAATGTTTTCTTTAGACAGTCACTTTTTACTACTGCTGTGTGGTTTGAGGTTGGAGCCCCACTCAGAATGAACATGCAGCTCTCTAGTGAATGAAATGGAAAGATGTTCTGGAATACAAAATCAGCCACAAAAAAGCAAGTATAGTATGATAGCACTCCTTGGAAAATTGCATGCATATGTGCACATGTCTACAGAGGAAAGCCTGGAAGGTTCCTAGTGTGTGTGGTTTTTTTTTTTAACTCTGTGGTAGAATTTCAAGAAATTGTCTTTTATATTTTTCTTATACTTTTGTATATCATTTGAGTCCATTAAAGTAATGCCTGATCATTCTAAAGTCAGAGGAAAGCAATTTCCTGTGTAAGGAAAGGTGGAAGTTGAGTTTAAGAGGCAGTGGCCGCCCTGAGCAGCTTGCCCACCAGGACACTGCGTGGCTTCTGTTTAACCTGAGATGCAGGGAACTGGAAGGGAAGGCAGCCACTGGCACTGGTGAGCTCTGTTGGTAGTGAATACAAGTTGTCATTTCCCATGTATAAGGTTCCCATATCTGACAGAGAGCAGGAGAGTTGTTCCAATCAACTCAAAGAGAATAAAATCACTGCCCATAGCTGATCTGTATCTTTTTCCATGTGTCAAGCACTCTGCCAAGCACTTTGCATGCAAAATTTACTCTCTAGCAAGCTCTATAAAAGAGGAAGTCATTTTTAATCCTTATTTTACAGATGAGGGAGCTGGATCTTAGGGAGGCTGACTAATCTGCCAAAGGTCATGCACTAAGTACTGGCCTTGGGACTCTAGCCCAGGGCTGTGGCGTTCCAGAGCCCATACTTTTAATTATTTCAAAATGACAAACTCAAGTAGAAATACAATCACAATTTTTACCTTATTTATGGAGTTTTACACTTTTAGTAAAAACTTAGTATGTTGATTAGTGTACCCAGAAATTTAACTCTCATCATTCCAGAAAAAAAAAAAATCACTATTTATCATTTGATTTCAA